CATTTGTTTTACTTATTTTTTTGGCTAGTAGGTACATATGTCTTCCATATAATTGCAAGAAAGAACATAATAATAACAATAATAAAAATTGTCAGTTTTAGTGAGTAGGTAATTATATTTGTTAGTGAATTGTGGATACATGGCATTAGACACATAATTGGTGTAATAATAGACTTACCTATACTGAAATATGAGACATTTCTAATGTTTTAACTTATTTTTGTAAATTTTTCCACTGCTGTAATGTTGAATTACAGTACAGGTAGTTTTCGTAATATTATTCTATGAATTCCAAAAATAAAACACACGTACTTTTACAGCTGGTCCTTTAAAAAAATAACATATCATAACGTGCTGCAATGCAATATGCAGTAAGAGTAGGTAATGTATTTCTTCTCGAGTGTTTTTATGTCATTAGTTATTTAAGAACATTAGTTTCCTTGGATTAAATCAACAGTATTTTTGTTTATTGCATACAATACGCACGGTACAAAAATATCATATTTCTAACAAAAACTATGATAATATATTGTAATTTTTTTTCTAAACTCATAAACCAAATAGTCCCACTAATACACAAAGTCCGAATATATTCGTTTGATAAAAATATTAACCGTTTTTAAAGAAATTATTTCGATGTTTAAATTAATAAACTTAGTAAACATATTGTAAATAATTGTGTTTGTACTTTAAATTATATTATATTTTTAAATTTGAATAAAATCTAAAACCTTAACAATGAGTAATGATTTTTATAAATTACTCATGCATACTTCATAAACAATTTTATGTTTGAATTTCAAATTTTTTTGTTGAGGTTAGAGCAATTTATAATATATTGATTTTTTTCGTTTGAATTTTAATCTACTTATATGAAKCATGTGGAATGTAATGTATTTTTTGGTGAGCTATAAAATACTAGTATTGTATTCTTATTGGTAGCCAGTAAGTTTACTGCCCATTCGTTAATAACATATTCAATTATTATTCAGTATACCATTAAATTACAAAGTTAAATCGCATTATTTAATTCCAACCAACTTTGATAAGTGATTAAACGATTATTAATGATGCGAACTACAAACTAAATGGACTACTAATTATTGTGTTGCAATATTATGTTGACCTACCTTTGGTTAATATAAAATGAACTAAATACATATTAAACAAGTTATATTATTGCTATGGCTAGTATTGTAATACCAATCACAAAATAGAATATGCATTCTAATATTTCTAAAATTCAATTTTTTGATTGTAACCCATGATATTAAAACCAACATTTTAACATTTCGATAAATTTTATTTTAAATTTTTTATGTTCTTTTATTAATCACTTAAAAAATATTTCTTAATTTATATACCTATCAGTTCGAAAACAATTTATTAAGTACCTACCTGACTACTTTATAGTAAGTATATGTAAATTTATGTCACTGTCTAGTTTGCTAATGACCTATATATTCCTTCATTCAAATCAAAAGAAATATTAATATTAATTAAACTCATAATAAAATTAAGATAATTTCATTATTATTAATATTTTTTACTACTAATGCAATATTAATATAAACTAACATAACCATTCTATTATTATTAAAAATTAAACAAAGAAAAAACAAATAAAACGTAAATCTCATATATTTTTAATTTTTAAATAAATATGGATTAGTGGATTGCCTATGCAATAGAGAATAATATATTTTATTATGAAGACATTATTGAAGGATATGCAATTAATATAATATATAAAACAAGACAAAGAGAGGAAAGAAATGTATTTTAATTTAAGTTTATAAAGGAAATAATTAATACAATGTAATTCACTAAATGTATCAAATATAAATATTACAAAGTTATTACTAAATTATATAACTATATACAATTAATTATTTTTTAGTAATAGTTCAATTATCTAACTATACAATAGCTATATATTTATAGCTATAGCTCATTCTTATTTATTTGAAATTTTATTTATTCACTAGATAGGTAAAGACAATTTCATGTTTACAAGTAAAATGTATTTTATTTTTGTTAGTCGAATTTTTTTTTTTATATTGTTACATAAATTATCTTTATTTAGTTCCTTTGTCGAACGACTTAATACATTTCCGATTATTATTGGTACGAAATTGTCACAATATATTACTATTTCAATTTGTTTGGTACATTCGTTACAGTTATGTAGACGTATTTAAATTAAATGAAGCTTGCATATCATTAAACAAGTAT